AACATATGGAATATAACGTTACTCACGGAACACACATATATATATATATATATATATATATATACTGATATATATGTACATGCACCTTTCTTCGACTCGTATAGGAATATATACATGTATAACCAAGATACGGTTTTTCGATGCGTAACAACATACACACACATGCATAACGCATGCGTAAGCCGCATATCTCTTCTTCTGCGTACACCGCAGAAAATTCAATTCGACATGGACGATGCCACATACTACCACCATCATAATCATCTACCTGTGAGTTCAGATTCCCTCTCTCTCTCACTCTTTCTATAATACTCCATATCATATCATATCATTCTGGGTCTACGTTGAAYCATCTTTCTGTCACGATTTAACGTCACCTTCTTACGGGATTACGTTTATCAGTGGGTTATCGAACTAATATCACACAGGGGGACTTTGTATGGTTTCGTAGGAGGGCAAAAAAAAATAAAGCATCGAAAGAAAAATTCTCGAGAGTCACAGAAGCTTGTTGGTTACAAGAAAAGAAAGAAAGAAAAAGAAAATGAAAATCTTTCGATCGGAATATCTTTTAAAACCCTTCTCTCGGTTTCGAGTTAACAACAAAGAATCTTTAAAAAAAATGCGCCCTGTATATTCAAGCTACGTCGACGATTTTCATGGAAGCCAATTAAATTTTTACGAGGTAGGTAGGCAGGTAGGTAGGAAGGTAGGTAGATACGTATGTACATACACGTATAAACGCCAAAAGCGAATCCGGAGTTACGTTGAAGTAACTCTCGCGTGAATTTCGGCACGAGTGAAATATCCTCGAATTTTATGTTCTCTGGTTTACTTGCTTGCTTGCTTACCCACCCATGCACACAAATAAATACCACACACATACACACTCACGTATATTCTTTATTTCTGTCTTTCTTTCTTTTTTTTTTTTTTTGTTAAGGTACTAATCGTGCAAAGAGAAAGAACGAGAGAAAACGTGTTATTCCGATGATAAACGATTCAACCGGACTTCCGAAAAAAAAGTCTTTCAGTTTTTATTTTTATAAAAAGAAAACAACAAATAAAACCACGAAATTTTCGTACCGTTTTTTTTTTTCCTACGAAATATTCCTGGACACACAACAGGGATGTATCCTACGTGTATAATTTTCTCCCTCGTTTCCGCAAAATGTAAGAGAAAGAAAAAAAATAGAGAAAAGAGAGAGAGAGAGAGAAAAGAAGAAAAACGAGTATGATAGAGAGGGTTTCCAGTTGAAGGGGGTGAAAAAGAGAAAAATGTTGAAGAGCTACGAGGTTTGCCGACGAGACAGCGTCTCATTGTCGACCTGAGCATAGCAAAGTATTCTCTTTTTCTTTCTCTCTTTTACTATCTCCTCCTTCTATTTCCTCTTCCTCAGTCTTTCATTCATTTTGCGAAATCATCCGTCCCATTTCACGAGTGCCAGACGAGAATCCACTCGACTTAATGAAATATTTCTCTGCCGTCATTAGCTTGCTTATGCTACCCTTATCGGACCGTTTTTCTCTCCTTTTAGATAGTTAAAAGCGTGTAGGAAAAGTTTCTGTCTCTCTTTCTCTTTCTCTCTTCGAATAAAAAAGAAAGAAAAATTACAAAAAAAATTGTATGAATATAAAAAGAGAAAATTTTGATTAACAGAAAATTTCTAAATATTAATAAATATTAATATCATATAAATATTGCCTAAAGAGTTTACGTTTAATTTGATTATTTGTATTGAGTGGGTTGTTCGGAAAGTTCGTGCCGATTTTTCGGTAAGTGGCATAAAGTTGTTTTACTAAAAAAAACTTGAGAAGTTCTGGAAGGCCGAAATTTTGAAGTTACCCTTAAAGATGAAGAAAGATTGTGGAACAGAATGGCACTTATATATAATTTAATAAATATATACCAAATAAAAAAACTTAAATGCGTTGCGTTTCAATCTTCCGTCAAAATCGGCACGAACTTTCCGGACAACTCAATATATTCATATATATGAATCCTTTATCTAGACGTGTGTTTATCGTATTTAGAAACTAACGTAGAATACTGTTGCATCGTGACATACTAATTTACTCGAGTCTAAAGACGTTGGTAACATTTAGTAGGTTCCTCGTTCTAACGGTTATACACGATGCTACCGAGTGCGTATCCATGTTCCGTTGGAAAAATGATTAGGTCGATTCCTACCTACATGATTTTAGTATATATACATATATATTATACTATACTACGTTTTTTAAACGTAGTTTCAATTATTCCACGATTTTGTATAATATTATTAATTGCTTTCAGTAATTTTTTAAACGATAAAAAGAAGTTAATAACCTATTATTATTATAATCTAATTATGTTACTGAAATACACCGCATGTTGTCCGAAAAACGTTGACTCATATATATATTACTAATTAATGCAACCACATAAATTCGTTCATTAATTTTTATACGATATATAAAAGATAATTATGAATTATATACATGAAACTTTACTACGAGCAGAAATAGGAAAGTAATCGTTGAAAGAGAAGAAAAGTATAGAAATATAAGATATGTCTCTAATAAAATGTATCATTTTAGTGATATTTTGTAAAATAAATATCTTATTTTCCAGAAAGAGAGAGAAAAAAAGAAATATATACAGGATGAAACTCAAACAACGCGTTGAATACCTTGTAAAAAAAAATCAACAAACTCAAAGTAAAAAGAACATCGAGTAAAACATATGGAATATAACGTTACTCACGGAACACATATATATATATATATATATGTATAAACGTAAATTAAATTAGGAATAATATTTCATAAGAGTCTACATGTTTTTATTTTATATTAAAAAAAAATATATATATATATAAAATATAAAAAATATACTTATTGTAAATCAAAACAATATTATTGAAACAACAAATAAAATATTATCATCATTTTAATAATTAAATAAATAGATAAATAATCAATAAATTTTGCTATAAAATGAAACGATCAAAAGAAAAAATAGAACTAGACGAAAAATAGTAGTCAAAATAAGAAAATAAGTGAAACAGATTTGACTTCGTGACTAATAATAATACAGCAGCAGATGGGGAAGAACGAAACTAGAAGAAACGAAATGGGAAAGTGATGGAGGAGCAAGGGCTCTTGGGGAAGAGGAATGTGCGAGGGGATGGGAGAGAGGGAAAAGGGAGAAGGGCGACTCACCAAACGGAAAATCGTCTTCTCGGAAAGGTCGGCGGCGGTGGTGGGGGAGCACGATGGCTCCTGTCGACCGATTCACTTCTCAGGGCTTGAACGGCCTTCGGTACGGCCCTGAAAGGTTCCTGAGGTGTCCTCGCAAAAGTTCCCGCGACGACGGCGCCATTTCCAACGGTGTCACTCAAGTGACTTACGCCACCGCCACCACCACCACCCCCCATACCACCACCACCATGAAAACTGTTCCATCTTCTCACAGGACCCCTATTGTTGTTGTTGTTGTTGTTGTTAGTAGTAGTAGTAGTAGTAGAGTTACTACCGGTCCCAACAGGACCGCGAAGTTGATTAGTGTGTTTGTGCATTATTTTCCTTTGTTCTTCTTAAAAATCGATCTTCATTCTCCCCCTCGAATTCTCACTTTTCTCTCTCGTTTCCATCCTTATCGTTTTATTGTTAATTGTCGTCAAGGTTATTCACAATTACATATCTTTCTACCATTATACATCAACCTCCACCTCCACCTCTTCTTTTTCCTTTCCCTTCTTGTTTTACCTCTTTCGAGAGTTTTTGTTTCCTCGAGCAAAGTGTTTCCTTCCTTGATAATGAGACTCTTTCCAATACTTAACAGCGATAACAACACCGTACGATCAAAGAAGAATTCTATCTCTTCCACAACATTAAAATTCCATTCGGTCTCCCTAAGAAACCATCTAGAAAATATTGTTCACGAGTCGTTAGGATTTCACTATTCCTAGTTCGAATCACCGAACGATCGATTTCTATTTCCGATTTTTTTCTTCCTACTGGATTCGTGCGCGTCTACCATGAAAAAACATTTGCCATCCGAAAATCATTTATAATCAATATTTATATGTTATCGTTAATAAAATATGTTAAATACATTAATTCGTGAAATAATTATATTACTGATCTGTTAAAATTATATAAAATTGAGATTTCATTTGTCTCTGTAAAGTTTAGCTTTTGTTTAAACCTAAAACAATGTTCGTATAGTCATATTTTCTCTTATCTCTTCCTATACTTTAAAAACAAATGTTCTGTTAGAGTCATGCTGTTATACTTATAGACTTTGAAAGTACTTACGTTGACACAATAACTAGACACATCTACCGTTATTTCATATAACGTTTGGTTATTAAATAAAACAATTAATCAAAACATATAATAATATTAATTTTTATATGCTTTTCCTAATACGTTTAATTATTTCACAAATTAATTTAATTATACACTTTAACGATAACATATGCACATAATTATGATATATAAAAATTAGTGATATTGTTTTTCAAAAGTAATTTTGTTATCAAAGAATTTATATTCTGATTTCTAGCTTAAACAATTGTTTTCAGCTATCGATGACAAAGAAATGAATAAATTTAATTGGAAACAGTAATATACTGCTTGTACTAATTTTCATAGAAATAACACATGTGGAAAAGATTTTTTGAAGACATTTCAAAATGTATTTAAATGTAGCAATTAATTCCATGCTTTTTCTTTAATAAATTCAATATAAGTGTTATTCTGTGTTATTCTTCGAAAAAAATCTCCCATTATTTTTGATAAATTTGATTAATCATTCGGACAACTAGCGAATTTCTTGAAGTAAAAAAAGGATGACGATTTTCATGCAATAAAATTGAAATATCAAGTCACCAAAAAAATAAATTGCTACAGAAATATATTCCAATGGTATAAAAAAATATTTGTGTCTTTATAGAATATTTACTACGTGACCAATTGCTTTTCCTAACACATTTTAACAATAGGAGAACGTGCCACTTGCGTGAAAAAGTACACTCGACTAACGGTTGACGCGTTTCGTACTTATCTAACTCTTCTCTCTTTCTTTATTTCTTTCTTTTCCTTTTTCTTCCTATCTTTAAATTGTGCTTTATCAATTCGACGCGTTTGCATGGAAGCATGATAACAAAAAACCAAGAGAGAAGAGAAGAGAAGAGAAGAAAACTATACGACGATAAAATCCGAGACACCCGTAAGAAGGGAGTTTATCGTTGTCACACCTTTCATGCAACCCGCGTAAATGTTATCATAAAATGATAAGTATCCTTCCTCTCTTCCTCTTATACTCCTTTTCTACTTTTTCCTTCATCACCCTTTCTCAAATTCTTCGTCCAATTTCGAAAGTTGCTACGTCGTGATGTCTCTCCTATCAAGCATACGGCTATTTCATCGTAAAACTATAGTTGTTGGTTGTTGGTTGCCACATAGTGCTTGCTTACAATGACTCACGAAAATATTTCAACTAACTTACCATGAAGTCATTTTATTTATTATAATAAGTATATTATGCAACACTCATCGATGTATTATTAACATTGATTAGAGGGGTACGATTTTTTAGATTATGTAAGTAAAGTTTCAAACAAATTCAAATATATATGCAATAGTTATGATTTATTTCTTACAAACATAAAAATTACTGAAACCATCAAATTATTTGAACAGATAACTCATTTAAGTTTTTAGTTTTTAGTAGAAACACCTTTGGCACCAATAACATCTTATAAACGATTATGCATAAATTTTGTTAATTTTCCAGTAACACTTTGTGATATGGAACTTCATAGTTCGAGTAACTTAACTATCATCATCCTAACCATAACTATTATATTTATTTTGTATTTGCTTGAAACTTTACTTATATAATATAGAGAATCCTACCTCTAACCAATGTTAATAATACATCGGTAAATATTATATAATATACTTATTATAATTAATAAAGTATTTTATGACAAGTTGTTCAACACTTTCGTGAGTCATTGCATGTAACGTATGTTTTCTATGTCCCAAGGGCTTGATATTTCAACGATTCTCTTTCTCTCCTTTTTCTCTCTTTCTCTAGCATTTTCAGACACAACCCTAGAACCCGATAATGCGATTGTCGATAAGAAAAAAATCTCGTTCGATTGTTATCCGAATCGTTTTTATCGTCTCTCAAAAAGATAAACGAAAAAGAATTTTCTTCCAAACGAAAGAATTCAATTAAAGGGAGGGGGAAAACAGTGTATGAAACGATAGACAATCCGATCACAGTATAAGAAATTTTTTTAAAAATCTATCAAAAATATTGAATATTGAGATACGTACATATATATACGTAATATTTTCGAAACTAATATTACGAAATGATTTTATTTTGTTCAATGAAAGAAAAAAGAAGAGAAATTTACGAAAACCGTAGAGGGATGAAAAAGCAAGACGAAAGTTAAAATTTTTTCCAATATTTTCCCTCTAAGTTGCGTAACATTGCTGCAACTGTTAAAAACATATGTTCTCCAGATTGAGTAGTCCTATGATCTTCAAAAAACCATTTCCATTCTACAAGGATTCGAAGAAAACCTATGAAAAAAAGAGAGTTCCTCTAACGTCATATAATTTGTCAATTTCTAGTCGAAGAAATATTTGGGGAAGATATATTAGATCTACATTTCTACGAAAAGTTCTGTTCATTCGGACAAACACTGGCTCAATGTTGCATCTCGAGGGATAAGGTATCTTTTTTTTTTTTAAATGGTATAATTACAAATTGCTTTCAAGTTGATAAGAAGTCATATAAAATAATTATGACAATTATATTGGATTGGCAAGAAAATAATTTCGGTTTTCTTTCTTGCCAACCCAATATATTAATTCAACAAAGTCTATTCAACTTATTACTTTCTTTGATTCTAGAAACGGTAAGAATTATCTAATAGACTTAATATTTACCCAATGATCGAATTGTTAATAATCTTTTCAAAATAAAAAGAAAAAAAAATCTCATGTTCAATAATGAAAATCTTTATGGTTTGTTAGACCTTACGTAATAATCTTTGACGGATAAACCTTTTCCTAGTAGAAACGACGATAAGTACGAATGTGTACAACGTAAGAAGAGGAGGAGAAGAAAAAAAAAAGCAAGAAAATAGAGAAAGATAAAGAGAACAAGAAAAATAGGTCCACGTATATAATGGCACCCGTGGGAATAGCTTTAGTAATAGCGTGTACCGAAGTGCATAAGAGGCCCCGAAGGAGGATGAGTAGAAGAGGGAGGAAAAAAGGAGAGGAGGGGGAGGAAATAGGGGTAGAGGGTAGGTTTAAGGATAAAAAAGCAAAAGAAAGAGAGTGGATAGACCCTCTCGAGTAGTGGATAGAAATTCAGTGAGCTTGCAAAACCCCTTGAGCACGCGCTCGAGAACCGGCTCATCTTCCTCTTTTCGCAGCAGCATCCGAGCTTACGAAAGGAAAATCCGAGCACACGCTTTTCCCGACGACGACGACGACGATGACGACGACGACGACAACGACAACGACGTTTGTGCTTTTCCTCGTGCTGAAAGAGATAACCCATCCACCCCGTTCTCCTCGTTGTCGTCTACGTCATCGTCTACGACGTATCTTGCCCCTTACCTGCGTAATTCATACGTGCACACATGCGAATGTATATATGTATGTATGTATGTATATACGTATACTTTTACCCAAGTACTTACTTACTTATGAAAGATAGCAAAATTTTGACTTTGCTTTACTCGTATGTAAATACGTTATATATGCATGTATGCGCATATGTATGTATGCTTTTTTTAAATCAAAAGATGAAATCGAACTATCATAAGCTTATATGTAATTTATTAGTTTCTTTTTTTTTCTTTTATAAATTTGATCTAATCAATTTATCTATCCCAACCTTCCTTATTTACTCGAAATTGATCCCATCTATTGGAATTTGTATCGTTTCAATATAACGTGAGATCGGTATTTAGTTTCTCTTCGAATTATTTTTATTTGTTTAAAATGAAACAAAACTCTTTAGCAATGAAAATTAATCGAACGGAGAAAGAAAAAAGAACGTACGACGAGTTATTTGATATACACGTTTTTCAATCACATATATAAATCGTTCTACATCTTCCATTTTACTTTTAACGTTTGATAAATAAACGTGTATCTTTTTCGTTGTTGTGAGCGTATAAATAATGAATATAAAAGTTTAACTTTCCGATGGACCCTTCTTCTTATTCTTCATGTTGAACATGTATAAAACAGAAATTCCGGGGAAAGTAATTAACTATCGTAATGGCGATAAATACTGACGCAGTTTAACAGTAAGAAAAAAAAAACCAAGACGAGAAGAAATCTGCTGCTCTGTTGCTGTATGCTCGTAAAAGTTAGATGGTCGAGTAATATACATGTACACCTGTATGATTGCTACTCAAATATTCAACCGTCTGTGTTAGACGTTTCTCTATGTGTTAAAACGTATCTTTTCTATTTTCTTTCTTTTTTCCTATTTCTCTTTCTCTTTCTTTCTTGTGAGTATGCTTGAATTGCCACTCGAAGAGAGAGAGAGAAACAAATAGTCGGGTCGAGTATGCAGAAACTATGCTCGCTTCTCTAACGAGGATTGGTTATAGAGATATAT